CCGAAATCCTCCGATTTAAATATAATTTCACTCACATCCTAGGGAGTTAAGGTCAACTAATAATTTGCAAACTATGCTTTCGAATTTTTCACAGCAAAGTGGCTGGGGATTGGTATTTTGAACTTGTATCAAAAAAATAATGCAACAGAAAACGCTTAAAGGAAAATTATCCGTAGCTTCATCAGGGTGAGATCAGCCGGGGAGATGAGGGAATGTTGTAATGGGAATTTACTGTCGCGTACGATTGTGGTGCGATATTTAAAATGCCCCGCCATGGCATGGATGTCAGAGCGTGATTTGTAGCACTGAACGAAATATCAGGGTCTTCCAAATGCAAAAAAAATCGAAATTGAAAAATTTCAAAATATTAATGGCCTGTAGTATTAAAAGTCACGGTTATTTCAATAACTGGAGATCACAGGGCTGATAAATGCACTATATAACAAGCGAAATCTTAAGTCACAGTCATTCAGGTTGGCCTCAGCATGTCCTGAGTATTGACTCTCATCTTGCTGTTACGTGCTTAGGTACACATCCATAAAACACACATCCAAAAAAACAATAACATTTATTAACCGCTTTCTAGATGTACCCGATGTGCGCAAGCTCTCGTCCCGTGAACAGCTCGACGCGGCATTGAAGTCTCAGATTTGTTGGTATGCATTCTCTAAATGTCTTACAGACACGTAATTTGTTAGTCTTGTTCACGGGAGAGTACCCATGAGGGTTGGAATGGCAGGTAACCTGTAAGGTGCATGAGCTATGTCGTGTCGGCAGGCGAACATGGGAGGAAAGGTTTTTGTCGTCGTCCGTGCGCTCAGGGACCAGTTAGGCAGCTGTGAGCAAGGACACCATACGTCAGACGGTAATATAGAACCGAGATACGATTTATGGACGCAAAATCATGAGACGACACCAACAGGCCTACTTGAATAATTAACTCACCTGCAATGGCGCAAAGCAGCAGCGAAACGATGAATCGATTCATGATGATGGTGGTTCTTGCAAGCTTTTGAACTAAGGGTATTAACAACAAAGGTGGCACTAGAAGCAGAAGTAAACACCAAGCCTCAGTATTGAAGATCGTGTCTTTATAAGCAATTTGGGCCCATTCCCAAGTTATCTAGGTCGAAATAAATGTACCAGGAAAAATCTTTGCCCCATTTCAAAGGGATAGTCTTGCGACATTTATTGTCCAACTGGGTAACAGTATTGGGAAACCTGAACTCTATATTAATTGGAAAGATCTTAACACAGTTTTGTATAACAAAAGATGCTAAAGCTTTTTCTCATTTAATTTCAGGCTTCCAATTACCACTATGTCAAAAAGTAATTAAGGCCTTGACCGCTTTTTAATTTTAATCATGGCAAGTCTAGACTGTGTTTACCTAGGTAAAACTACCAGCAGAACAAAATGTCTCACCCCCTAGAAAAGGAATTCATTACACATGATTAGGTTTCTATGTCATTGAATTCGTTCAAAATAATTATACTTCAGCATTGAAGTTGGGAACTTTTGCCATTTAATTGCATTTTGTGTTTACAGTAACTGGTTTGGGGGTTGAAAAATCCATGAGAATGGAAATGCCAGACGAAAAACGATGTATCCATTAAGAATTCATAAATTACATGAATAGGTCATGATGACGACACTAGTGCTTTAAAGGGGAGACTTTGGTTGTTATGCTGCTTTGTGTTTTAATTACTCCATCATCATGTGTAAATTTTCCTCTGACAGTTCCCTTTCAGGGGATCTGCAAGATTTCAACCCGATCAGACATGTACGTGAAGTTGCTTTGAAGTGTGGGTGTATAAAGTTGCATGACTTGTCACCTGAAGACGTCATCTGTCACATCATGGCGGTTTTCGTTTATATAACTTTCAGTTGCTAGATGCTTGGGTTTCAACTCAATTTGAGATAGAGCTTTGAACGGTAACTTTTAAGGTCACATGCCTTGTGAGTGGATGAGGTGACAATCACACGATTACAATTTTTTTGTCTATAACATTTCCCTCTCCAGCTACTTGCAAGGTTTCCACCCAGTCGGACATGTACTTCAGAAGATATGAATGCACCTTTAATGCCACTTAACTTGTCACTTGTTGACGTCATCACGACATCTTGTCAATGTGTGACTATAACACGTGCCTCTCTAGCTACATGCAAGGTTTTAACCCAATTGGATATATACACGCATGAAAGTTTATAGAGCGCGAATTATTGTGACTCGTGGATACTTTAGGAGATTCGAATTTGAAGTCTGCACGTCTCAGTGACGATTTATTTCTTGGACCCTATTTAGGGCACATTTTTACATTCTGTTGTTCTCAGATCTTTTCTGATTTGAGGGGAGGGTCGGTCAGTCAAAACAAAACATAAATAAACTTCCTTTAAAAAAATCCATGCTGCTGCCATAATGACTGAATAAACCAGGCAAAGTGCACTTGGGTACTTGTCGCTTGTTTTTAGATTGATCGAGTATCATCAGTGTTTTACTTTCTTGCTGAGTACAAAGAATATTTTGTTGGTATACAACACAAAACTTCGTTGGAGTCACTGTCAAGACACCGTACGTTGTTCGTGTATGCACTGTACATACAAGGGTATAAAACATCTCGGTTTTTTTTCCTATAGCGCTCCGTACATATTGTACACAGGGAACGACACGAGCACTTCTCGGTCTGATAGCAATGCTGTACCGAGGATTTCGACTGCCGTTGCATTGTGTTTGGGCAAAATCATATCGCACATGCAAATTTTCAGAGCTGCTTTGTACGGGTCATCACAATCTGCTATTTTTATAGCTAAGGTCCTGTCATCAAGGTCAGTAAAAAAAAAACCAAAAAAAAAAATTAGGTCGGAAATGACAACCACAGAATTTAAAAGGGTGTTTTTAAGCATGGGGACTTGAAATTTTGCTGGGAATTTACCACCAAACGAACTGCTCCTAGGCTTAGCCTGCCGTTCGTTAGCTGATATCACCACTTGTGTCAGGGTAACCGCTCATCCTTGCAAATGGTTAATGTAACCGTCTAGAGCAGGACACAGAGAAATATAAATAAATAATTGTTGTTGTTGTTGATCAGCTTTTATTGTTTAACAATAATTTTGTTTGGCCAAACAATTCAATTAGTCTACAGTCACAGTTTAAAATTTAAAAGGATATGATCCAGCTGGTCAGTCAAGGAATACACCACAATAGGGCCTTATTTCAGTTTGCGCAAACAACATGGCCGGCCGGCAAAGCAAAACAATCTATATTCAGACAGTCTTTGGAGACTGAGATCTTGTCTGGATCTCCACTTCTCTACTGCAGACTGGGCTGAAAACTCCCACAAGGTCAACTTGTCCAGCATGCCAATATTCATCCACGGGAATATGTATTAACAAGTACAGTTTGAATTGCATTATCCATGCATCACATTCTTTAAACACATGTAATACATCTTTAGCATTTTAACTTCTTTTTAACTAACACCCAATCACTTTAATCGTATGTACCGGCATTTTGGTAAGTAGCATATCTCATTATTCCCGTTTACCTACTACACATGTGCATGTGTGCACCAACGTGCATACAAAGGTGAACTAACTCTAACTCACTCTGGTTATATCAAACGTTGCCTGTGAAGCATAAATCATTGAGGTTTATATCCTTTGTTTAAAGACAAAATGACATATAATAAAAAAGGTACTGATGTTAAGACTGTTACTCTGCATATTTTTCTAATCAATGTTGGCAATCAAGATCATGTAATGCACTTGCGTCTCAAATATACTAGAGCAGACTAAAAGTACTAGAGTTTATGCAGCATGAAAAGTCATGAACTTAATCCCTCCTAAACAACATGATGATCACAAACCTGAGAGCCAACAGTATGCTGAGCAGCACAAATGGATTTTAATTTAAACACCTATCCGTCGATGCTTGGAGCAAAAATATTTTTTGACACGATGTCTAAGGATTTACTTGAACACAACTTTCAGCGATAACCAACATTAATAAGCAGTGAACGGCAGGTTGAGCTTTTTTCGCTAGAGGGCGCTATTTACTATTTTACTGTACGCGACTCTTGGAAAGCAGGCGGTTAGGCTTATATTAAAAAATATATTTGTGGGGTCAGGCCAGGTCAATTCCATCTCCGATCAGGCCGGTTTACTGGGTCCGCCACAACAGATGTCAGTTGCCTCGCCACAATATTCCTCAGATGTTTTATTTGTCACAAGTGAGACCCTGTTTTCATGTCCGACATTTGAGCTGAGCAACTAGCAGCGCAACCCTTGCATGCTACAAATGGCAAGCAAGCCGATTTGTCGACTTGGTCGAGCGATTTAAAAGCATTAACCTACCCCTTGTCGGCAACTGCACTGTTCGCAGATTCCTTCAAACCGGCCATTCTGCTTAATACCAAACACAGCCACTTTTGAAACCCCATGCGTTCTTCCATCTGTTCGTGCAAAAACCTAAACGAGGAGGTAGTTATGTGATTCAGTACATCTTGCGTTGCGTTGGGTATTACGTCGCATGAAGCACAACGCGACGCACGACACAACCCACAACGCAACAACGCGTCGTGTGCTGTCGTGCTTTGCTTCATAGTGTTTAGAGAGGGCGCCTATATTATTTCTTTTATTTCCATCCGTTGTGCTTGCATAGTACATGCTACAGGGAGCAGGCATTAAAAATGTATCGTTCTTTTCATGCATCCTTCCTTATATTGTGTTTTCGTGACGAGTGAGTTGTTGAAGAAAAGGCTTTTTTGTTGTTGTTTGGGATTTTTATATCAAATGTAATTAGAAAGAGCGTTGTCTCCAGGAAATAAATAACAGTTAAGTCAGCCACAACAATATTTTAGCTTTTCCTGCTCTAATTCTGTAAATTTTGTAAATCCATTCTAAGAATAATGCATCAATCATTATTAGGTGCTTGCTAATTTAACATGCGGATCTGATAGGTATTTATGTTCGTGGCCAATCTGTACTGTGAATATATTATGGTGTGGGTATAGGCAATGAGTTCCGGAGCACGAACCCGCGGGGAGCAGAAGTGCTTGCACCCATGACCGTAGGTTGAAAGACACAAGAGTGGGTCAGGACGCAGTACATACGCAACAAGTTTTCTTTCCATGAGTAGTAGGCGTAGGACGTTCTTTTTCAGCCCCTCTTTTCACGCTTTTCCCCGAAACCTCGATGACCCCATCGACTGTTACCCCGTATACCTTATCGACCTTTTTCAAAACTGTCCAAAACACAAATTCTCTAAAAGCACTTTTCATTTTCGTAAAACCCCTCCTATACCTCATCGACGGTTTTCAACCTTTTTAAAAAAAGGGGTTTTAAAAAAAGAAAGAACCAACTCCCCCAGGACTTCCCTACTTACCCGTGACTTCCCCAGGATGTCCCCATGTAACTCATGACTTCCCCGGACTTCGATACTTCTTGGAAAATTTACTGCCCCGATAAAAAAAAAACCAACGTCAATTGTCTTTTATGCAAAAACATGAGTCAATCCGTTAACGTGGTAGATGCAACGTGATTGTAGAGGGTGTTCAGGTTCTTTTTGCATCGGCTGATGTCATGACTGTAAAAACTGTGACGATTACAAACGTTGCGCAGATTATCGCTTGCAATAAAGGTGCTGATGTGATAGTTGTATTGAATGCGTTAACTGCAACGACTGTACTTTTTGCATTAACTGCAATGACTTGCACGGTGAATCGTTTTTAAAATGTCTAAATGAGAAAAAGAAATGGCCGCGGTTGCTATTAAAAGATGTGATTTAGAACGTCAGACGATCCCGAGCCAGAATCTGTCTTGGATGAAGAAACTGACTTGGATGTAGACCTGAGGAAACTAGACTTAATAATTGAATATAACAAAGATGTTGACGTAGACCTTGACGTAGACGAAGAAGACGAACACGAATACCTTAACGAAGATCTCCCATTTTTCTATTTCGCACTTGTAGCAGCTATAGAAGACAGTTACACACGTGCAGTAGCTGATGATCTAAACAGATGCTTAAATAGGGGATTTCACATCATTCGTTTCAAATATGATTCTATAGGCGCGGTAAAATGAGTCGTGAAAAAATGAAATTAAATTTATAAAAACTATTATAAAATAGAGATGATAAAC